CAACCATGCCACGCTCAAAATTGCTTAAATCACCTTTCTTTCCCATTCTGACATTCAGTTTGGAGTTCAGGAGATTGTCTTGACCAGGACCACACCCCTAAATGCATTGAAGCAACGTGATTGGTTGATTAGATAATTGCATTAATGAGAAATTGTACAGGTGTTCCTAATAATCCTTTAGGTGAGTGTATCTGTTATAGACCAATTTTCAGTTGGTAAACATGGTGACGTTTTTATGTGGGCGGAGCTTAGGTGGTGGCAGAACGATCCCTCTGGCCGCTTCACTAACGTAAAGTCTGCAAGTTTTGTTAGCTTGTTTTTAACAATGGCTGGAGAAAATCCGATTTTATCTTAATGTGCAAGGTCACTCACTGTCCAGGACCGCGATTGTTATTTGCAAAAGTTAATTTTAACGGACGGAACCAGATTGGCTGACCCGTACACTCATTGAGGATCTGACAGGATTAACGTTAACGCTACCTCCGGTTGAGTGGCCTGACATCTACACCAACCTGATAGAGAAACGGAGGGCATATAAATCTTTAGATGCCTATAACTATGTGCTGAATGGTGATGTGCAAGACGTTCTGCAGTTCTGCCTAGCCAGCGCCATGAAGACGACAATGTAAAGAGTGACATTACGGTGCAATTTTAATGAGGTGAATATTTTCTAGAAATAAAACATTGCAAATAAAGCATATTAATGTTTCATTGATTCTTGCACCCAACAACACAACAAGATGACATTTAATAATAATAAGAATAATTTAAGATCCTTATTTTGTAGCCGAATCTGTGCTGGTTTGTATTCACCGCCTCAAGTTTTCCCTTTGTTCTGCCACCAGCTAGCACTGTGACGTAACTGTGACGTCGGCTGGAAATTGGTCTATATGGAAAGAAAAATGGGGAAGCTCAAATGTGCTGCGTAACATGAGAATGAACCTCATTGGTTCTCACATGTCAAGCGAACATGCTTTAGCTTCCTGTAACCACAACTGACGAGTGAGTTGATGAATGTTTATATGTGAAGAAAATTCAGTCTGTTCATCATATAAAGGGATCGAGTCTTCAGAAAATTTGGACTAAACCCTTCAATTCATTAAGTTTTATGAACTTTGAAACTTCAAAGTTGTTGTGTCAATGGAGGGACAGAAAGCTCTCAGATTTTCATCAAAAATATATTTATTTGATCTGCATTCATCAACTATCCCTTTAAGTTTTTAATACTTTTTCTTGTAAGTATGGTTAATCATTTCTCTTTCAGTATAATGAACATTTTAATGTTCAAGTGATGAATGAACAAGTTAATGAACATTTATTTAAATGACTAAACTGTTTAAATTTGACTAAACAGGTGGTGACAGTCACATCGAGCTCCATCACACTTGAAAAATCATTTTTTCACATGCATAACCTATGCATGTTGACAAACCAGCTCTGTGAATATTGCTTGTACTTTAAGGTATCTGTCTGTTCCCTCCATTTACCCCCTTTAAAACATTTGCATAAGATGATGGCTGTAGATTGATTTACTGTTTTAGTGACTAAAGTCATTCCTATTCAAGTTCAATTGTTCTTAATCATTTTGTTTTTATTATTATTTTATAATTGTCTTGATTCGAATCTACCATTTTGCCAGAATTCTACCTTTGTCTTCTCTGGAATAACTTGACCAGCCCAACATGTCAGCAATGTTTACTGTCATTATGATTTATACAAATAGACAGTTTTGGGACATGGATCATGGGACTTAATTTTAATCTCACCTATTATGCACGTATCCTTAATGATGACGCTAAACAAACACGTCTTTCTTTTTTTTGAAGCGCATGATTAATTGTACGACCCTGCTTTTCTTTGTCACGCTAATGTGTGGTTTTGAGGTCTTTTCATAATGATAATGTTGGGTTGTGTTGAGCTTATCCAATGTATGTTAAGTATACATGACTGAAGTCTTGAGATGGTGCGGAGTAACTGGCAACAAATACGATGCTTTTGTTTAAAATCCTTATGACCTTGTCACACGGTCAATATTGATACTCTGGAATGAAATCTGCCATACCAAAGGATGTCCTGTTTTACCAGATTAATCAAATCCCATGGAACTGACGTTTTCGTGCGATGTTTGTTCACCTGTGTGGGCATCTGTCAAGAATGAATTAAAGACACGAGCAAAAAGTAACATTTTCAAGAATACGCCGTTTTGAGAGAATAGTAGAAACCCCTTCAAGATAATCTTGTTTGGAGTCTGAGTGGGCGTATGGAGCAAAAAGAGGGAAAAGGAAACAGACAGCTTATGTTACTCCGAACAATAATTGTAGAATCTGCCGAACAGCAATGGCTTAGTTTGTTTACATGTCTTGACTGCTGCTATAAATGGCATCTGCTTCTGAGGTAAATCTGAAAGCATCGCCATAGCCGTTTATGATGATGAAATAATAGAGCTACATCCTACCTATTCCCACGGTCCACGTCCAGAATCTTTTGAGGTGCTCGTCAACAGGAGAGGGATAAGATGGACATTGTTTTAGTTGTTTCTTTAAAAAAAAAAAAAAAAAAACCATAGAAAGGGCCGATTAAATCCTTAAATTGGAATAGGAGTATCATCACATTTTGCTTATTTTGCCTTCTAGCAAAGGATAAATGTAATGCTTTTAAATATATATTAATACACATTAAAATAAAGTGGTCCAGTGACACAACTTGTCCCACAATAGGGGTAAGCTGTGTCATGTTAAATTTATAAGGGAGGGGGGAGGCGAAATTAAATCTTGTTCCATGGGTGCTAATATTGTATTTGATCCTGATTTAATTTAAGAGGTAACAGCAATAATTGTTGAAAATATCTCAGTTAACTGAATGAAAATGTTTGTAACATTAATATTTTGCAAAACATTAAACGCGTTAATAAATTTAATCAGGAAAAGGTTTTTATTTTGTAAATTTAGTCCGTGACGAAAATGGTAGTTAGTAACGGAAAAGATTTCTCATTTTAGGTATAGGCCTAATGTATTCTGACTCATTTTTGATTACTTTTAGATACCGTTTGACCTAACTCGTTTATCGTATTGATTTGAATGGGATTATTGTGTACCATATTGATATTGATTTTTCTTTTTTTTTAAAGTGGAAAGAATTTGTTTTTCCATTCTTTGTGTTCAACAACATGAAATGCATTAAGCATTACATTGTGCCAGGGTTTCCCCAAACTGGGGTTAATGAAAGAACTGCAGAGGGGATTGAGAGTCGATGAAAAGCTAATGATCAAGTCAATCATAACAAATGTAGAATTAAAATGAATAAAATATTTTAAAAAATAAAACAATAAAAATATTAATATTTTATTTATTTACCTGCATGTCAATGTAACCATTATTCAACATCAAATGTCCTTTTAAATTATTGAAAAATGTACTTAAAACCTCAGGGGTCTCCAAGTAAATATTTTAGGTCAAAGGGGTTTGTCTGACAAAAAAAGTTAGTGAATCCCTGCATTACATGAACAAACAATAATACATATTAAAATGGCAGTGATATTACACATTTAAAGGTTTGTTTGAAATATTTTTGTCCAGAATTTTGTCAAGATCAATAATTATCGAAGTCACTGTATATGATGAAGACAGTGTTTCACAGCTATATATCAAGAAACTTGCATAATTATTCATCACATATTTTAAAGGTGCGTTTGTCCCAAAATTTAGAAGCATCACAAATTTATTTACATGGCCATTCTGTGAATATATTCAAAGCTAAACAGCATGACACACAATCAGATTTTTTAGAAAGAAAAAAATGTGAGTGTGGATAGAAGAATTAGGGGAAATCAATAAATTATAGTTTACTGCCATTGTGTGAAAAATGCAATAATGTAATCCATAAAAAAGTTACTAATTTGATTATCAGCATTTTAAAATGTAATACATTTTTGGAATCTGATTATGTAATCCAGATTACATGTAATCAGTTACTACCAGCACTGTTAGCTGATTGACTGACACACTTTACCCCATGATTAACATTTAGAAAAAAAAAACTGCTTCATTTAATATTTTATGGCCAAAATTTACAAAGAAGGATCATGTAACTGAAGGCTTAATGACTGCCATCACAGGAACAAATTACTTTTCCAAATATATATAAAAAAAAAGACTTGTTTTAAATTGGATCAATATTTCAGAATTTTACTGTATTTTTGATCAAGTAAACAGCCTTGGTGAGCAGCCTCAGTGAGATGCTAAAACAAATTAATCCTTCCGACCCCAAATTTTTACATGGCCCTTTGAAAATATGGTAATTTTACTAAATTTATGGACAGTTTTTTTAGATTAAGGGGGCATTACAGTTTAGCCTCTGAAACATCTTATCCATAAGATCTTTCCTTCATGCTGTGGAAATACAAACCAGAAGACTGAACACAATAATGATGAAAAGGGGCGGAGCTACATCAGGGTCCAATATAATGGTCTAAACCCTGCACTCATCATAGACAGATACACTCGACACAAAGCAGACACGTCTGCATTTCCCCGAACGCTCATCAAACGAAACAGGAAATAATGCCTCAAAATCCAGAACCGTAAAGATGTTTAGTGATCGACACAAATAGTTTGCACCTCACACCCAAACGTGCAGGACAAGGAGAGCAGGAAGTGTAGTGTCATATTCTGATTCTGTTGTAATGTTTTTTTTGCAATCTGGGGCATCAAACTCCTCTTCCTGTTCCTGCAAGGAATGAGTCCCACAATTTAATGGTGTTCATCCTCTGCTTGTCCACTGCACTGGAACCTACCATGAGCTCTCAAACACTGGAGCAAATTCAAAGGTCAGTCACAAAATGATACTTCTAACATTCATTGAAGTCAAACAAACATGGGATCGGTTTCTCCGTTCAGATTCTCTTAAGTAGAGCATTGGTCTATTCTGAACTCTTCCTGTCTTTCCGGCAGCTTTCATGAACTACCTGTCAACAGGATCCCGACCGTCTGATCTTGACGATCTTGACAATAGGGGTTCAATCTACCCACCAGCCCTCAAGCTAGAAGTATCAGGATCTGAACTATCTGAGGTGTAAATCATTGAGCACAACGACCGGTTTTGATGAGTGAGATGATGTGCGTGGAAAACTGTTGTCAAGCTTGTGACACTGTTAAATAACAAGTTTCCTCCAGCAGAAAGAATAATGAGACTAGCTGTAAAACACATCATGATTTCTGAAGAAATGTCTTCAAGGATGTATGCAGACGGCCCCATCAAAATCTCCCAACTAAATATATCTTTAAATCAACATTTAAACACCACCATTGCAGACTGATCTCATGAAATGGCGTATGCATGACACGCCAATTCGTATTTCCATTTTTGGCGTGCTATCAACACGCATAATCGCTTTTCAGCGTGTTTATCAACGCCTTTGACTTAACGTTATATTACTGTATTATGTATATATCAGACTGATCTCATGAAATGGCGTATGCATGACACGCCAATTCGTTGCTATCTTTAAAAAATGGATGACATAATTTTATAAACAGTCCTTTGTAGCAAAGAGGAAACCAGTGTTGGTTACCACACTTTTTATTTGCTTAATATCTCTAGTGGAACAAACGTTAAGATAACTTTGATTTGAAAACATTCTCAACAAAATGTGTCTTTAAAAAAAAAAATCAGTGCCAGCCAACCCCAACATGCATTTATTGTTAATTATTCAAATTTTATATCCAAATGCCAAATAACCCTACTCACACTCTCTCGAGCCTGGCATCATCATTTATTGCAGGCTTCCAAATTTTAAATCAAAATTCATAAAATGGATAATCCCGGTCCTGGCCTCTGAGTGCTATTTTTAATGCAGGTTGTGCCTAATAACAGCATTTAGCCGTGACCATTCACAATATAGCATGGCCTCTTGTGCCTTATTGGTTAAATAACTTATTTGTTAAATAGCTTCCTACATCAACATTTTATAACAACTTCAGCTGGATGGGCGAATTTTCGTTTTGACATTGAAAAATTAAGGAATCGTCCTAATGAGAATTTGATAACACTTTATTTGACAGTGTCCGTGTTACATACATGTAGGTACTTTACCTAGTAATAACAGTAAATTATGCATAATTACATGCAACTAACCCACAACCAAACTCTAATCCTACCTTAACCCATATAGTAAGTGTTGTTAATTAATATTACTCAGTACTTAATAATTACACTGTAGCAATGACACCTTAAAATTAAGTGAAACAGCACACAATTATGACTAATTAAGTCCTACACATAAATGTTTCAAATGGAACCAAAACGTTCTATATTTATCCAGGCCTATATTGATGTAGGCCTACTGGTGCTTTGAAGAATCTAGAAACCAATACCTTGATCTGAAGAACCTAATGCGACAGGAACTTTTTTAATCTCCAAAGAACCGGAAAAATTGTGATTTGTTGAACTTAAGAACCATCGAATAACGTGTAGTAGGCTTTATCCAACCAAACAGGGCCCTTATCTTGTAAGATAAACCAGAAAAAAAAAAAAACTTTATTAGTGTTAGTTTTAAATAGCTTTAAAAAACTTTAAATAGCCGTCACTCAGATTCGCAACCTGCATTTCTCAAAGCAGTGATTTGCCGTCTCAGCTCTGATGACATATTCCGTAACACTCTCACTGGGCCCATTAATAACCTGTTAGCAGAGCACACAGATAACACAAGAAATACATTGTACTCTTTCACAACATCCAGTCGCTCTAAACAAAACAGGCGCAGTCACTGATGAGGTCACATGACATGGGTATGCCTGTCTGTCTGTCTCACGAACATAACACAACTGGGAAAACAAATACAAATACAGCATAATATTATTTTTATACATCTTAACAATTATATTATCTTATTTGTCTGTTATGTAAATGTTATGAAGTGTCTACTAGCCTACATTGACTGAAAACGGGCAACAGCCTTATCCATCACTACCATCAAAATAACGTGTCATGAAAACAAACCCAACCAACAGCTTATGACGTGATTTAGTAGTAAAGCTGTTGAAATATTTTTGTCACTTCGTTTTTTCTCACCGTCGTTGGTCTCAGGTTGCAGTCAAGGAGGAGCTGAGATCCTCCCGTGGGCCTGTGCTGGAAGCTGCTCCTCACATATAAAGCGCTTCCCAATGCCGGAGGAAACAGTGAATCACAGCTTCAGAAGAGGGAGTCGATCTCTCTCACAGTGCTCTTCAACCACCAGCTGCTCAGTCAAAGTCATCTCTCACTGCGCCTTTACTTTGATTTAGATTCAAAACGGAAAGAAAATCTCCAGGTCACATTCGCGCCAGAGAAACAAAGTTTGAATTAAAGGGGAAGGTGAAGTTTTGAGAGCGCACATGGCTGCTTTGATAAGCGCGTATTCGTCCTGGCCGGAGAGCTTTGAGTGCTCTGCGGGAAACGCGGACGTACCTGACGGACACACCTCTCACAGAGCTCCCGCGGACAAGGTGTCGGAGCCGCGCATCAGGAGACCCATGAACGCCTTCATGGTGTGGGCCAAAGACGAGCGCAAGAGACTCGCAGTGCAGAACCCAGACCTCCACAACGCCGAGCTCAGCAAGATGCTGGGTAAGACATTATCATTATTATTTGTCTAATAATTACTATTAATATCAAAATCTCATTTTTATTATTATTATTAAAGGAAATTGTCATTGGCAAGTTTTGCGAGACTTCATTGTGAGACATCACTCTCTGTTACACAGTTGTTTTATGCATTGATTACAGAAAGTGGGATGTTTAATCCCTTCTAATTGTAGCTAATAATTGTAAACTAATTGTAGACATAAGTTAAAATACTTTTTGGTAGCGGAAAGCACACAGAGAGCGTGAATCTGTCCGAAACGAACCTGAATTGAAAATAAACTGAAACAAAACCGAAATAAATAAAGCAGTCACGGTGAGATGCGGCACATTTTTAGATTGTATTTAATTGAATTTAGATCAAGGGCACATTTATCATTTCACAAGAGTGGGAGACTTTTTTTCCCCAAACATAAATAGCCTACTAGGCCTTTATAAATCTGTAAAAAATAATTTGTTTGTTAAAATAAAAAATAAATAAAAAAAATATATAGAGAGAGAGAGAAGGCCTATATAAAATGTAAAAAATGATATGTCAATACTTAAACCATTTCAGTAATGGTAATAATAATATATAATAATTAAATATATAAATAACATACAAATAATTTTAAATTCATTCATTTGAAATCAGTCTGATCTTCAGGTTTGCATCAGAAATAAAACAAAAATGAAAAACTTCATTGGTTAATTAATTAATAAGAGGTTTTGGAACTATAATTTGCATGTGTGAGTCATTTCTGTTTTTTTACTACTACACATTGTTTCTCTACCTGCTCTGGTTTTTAAAACACTTTCAAGTATTTTTAAAAGCTAAAATAACTCAGTATTATTACTGCCAATATTGGAATTTAAACATTATCAAATTAATGCCAAGCAACAGATAATGTACCGTTAAAAAGTTTTAAATACCGTGGTGCAAATTGAATTTTTTTTTGTAACTGACATTATAAACAATTATAGTTGATGATTATTTCCATTATTTCTTTTGAAATATTAAAAAATGCTTATGAAGACATTAAACTAGCTTTGTCTCCTGTAGAATATAAGCAGACAAACTAAATGTGGCCATGTAATTATGTTGTGTTGGTGCTAATGTGATTGTCAAGCTATTAGTTTGTAATCTCAAAAACTCCAAATGGATCCTTTAAAAAAACATTATTAAGTCTAATGTGTCTGTTTCTTTCTCCAACAGGAAAGTCATGGAAAGCTTTAACTCCACCGCAGAAGAGACCGTACGTGGAGGAAGCGGAGCGTCTGAGGGTTCAGCACATGCAGGACTACCCCAATTATAAGTACCGTCCCCGTAGGAAGAAGCAGCTGAAGCGCATTTGTAAGCGCGTGGACCCCGGCTTCCTCCTGACCACACTCGGCCCGGAAAACTCCCTCCCGGATCCTCGCTGCTGTCACCCCCTGGATAAAGACGACGAGAGCGGTGTGAGTGGCGGCTTCGGTTCTCCAAGCGCAGCTCTACCCGGCGTCAGGGTCTTCAGAGATCCCGCCAGTTCCAACAGCAGCTTCGATACGTACCCGTACGGCTTGCCCACGCCACCTGAGATGTCGCCTCTGGACGCCGTGGATCATGAACACCAGTCCTACTACTCGTCCTCCAGCTCAGTCTCCACCAGCTCCTGCTCGTCTTCCGCCTCTTGCCCAGACGACAGGCGTCCCACGCCGGCGCACATGAGCAGTCCACCCCCTTACCATCCCGATTACTCCCAGCAGGCACCTCTGCACTGTGGTCACATCCAGATGTCCCACCCGGGAAGTGGGGCGACCTTTATCCCAGCACATCCACTGTCCTATTACAGCCCTTCGTTCCCACAGGTTCAGATCCATCACGGGCACCAGGGGCACCTCGGCCAGCTTTCACCCCCTCCAGAACAGGGGCACCTGGAGGGTCTGGACCAGCTGAGCCAGGCTGAATTGCTGGGTGAGGTCGACCGAGATGAGTTCGACCAGTACCTAAATTCCACCAGTTATCACCCTGAGCAGGGTGGGATGACAGTCACGGGACACATCCAGGTAACGCCGGCTTCCGTTTGCTCGAGCAGCGCTACGGAAACCAGTCTCATCTCCGTACTGGCCGATGCCACGGCAGCCTACTATAACAACTACAGCATTTCATAAACGCCAAAACAGGGACAATTGACACAGACAGAGACTGTGGGCTCGACGTGGGTCAGCAATATGACTGGCAGGTGAAAGGGGGGCTGTGGAGGGAGCGGAAAAGAGAAGCTACAGGAAGTCAAAGGACACCTCAGGGATGCATAGATAAAAAAAAAAAAACTGAAGTTCATTCCCATCTTTGTTTCCAAAAGGAGAACGGAAGTAAAAAAAAAAAAAAATTGGACAAACATAGAAATGCTCTCATATCTTGCCACAAAAGCATGTACATATGCGATGAAGCTTATTTATATATCGAATTGCTTTGCATTAAAGCTTATTGTATTGTTTTTTTCAGTCAGGATATATTCAGTTGTGTTGTTTTTTTAAACCTCAAATGTTTTACCTCAAGAATTATTTAAGTGAGGCTGGTCTCTTCCTTCATAAGACATTATTGTGAAGGAAATTTTGCCTTCCCCCCCCCTCCCCTTTACATTCATTTAAAAAAAAAAATTATATGTATACTCATAAACAGTTCAAAGAATAATAATAATAATAATGAATACTATTGTATGCCGATTTAGGTTTGCCCTATTAATTTAATTCAAATAAAATTTTGAGTTTATACATTTAGCATTCTCATTTGATGTCCACACAGATGTCAATAACAAGCGGATTAACGTAGGTCATTATTGATGTTTGTTGAACACCATTCTTGATGATGAGGTCTTTTGATGAATTGCATTGTGTTTGCCCATATAAGTACAACACAGTGATTCCGTCTGTAGGTCTGGACTTGAGAAAAAATGTTGCAGATGCTCATCATTTTGTGATAAATTAAGTGAATGTTCTGAGGTCCCATCTGAATTAGATGCCACTAAATAAAAACACAATATAAATACAGGAGAAAAGACTCTTGCTTTTGTAATTACAGGTAGATCAAGATTTTCAAAAGGGGGGGGGGGGGTCTCTGATAGTAGTAAGTAAACTGCTTATTACAGTTTTTTCAGTGTAACCATTATTATTTGCCTCTTTTTCAGTTTCATTATTACGATAGTGATAGTATGACAGTGTATAAAAAGCTTTTATATTTCTTTCAGAAAGTTGCATTTATAATTATTACTTATCATTAGTGAGTATAGAAACTGATTTATGGAAAGTTACAGAATACTAATAACTGTTCAAGGATATTTATCCACAGTTTTTTTTTTTAGAAATATTTTATTGATAGCTCAACATTTATGTTTTCAGTATTTTTGGAGCTTTTTTCCATGCCTTTTTTTGGGACCGTTTGAGGTCCTTTCAAGAAGCTGACCTGTAATTTCTCGGTGTTGTGCGTGGCGGGCCGTCGCCATAACCACTGGCGGTATCCACCCTACGTTCGCAGTTGGCTATCAGCAACACCCATTATGCACTCAGTTTCACTCCTCCGCGCATCAGAGGATTAGTGTAAAACAGGCTCTGCTGTTTTTCTCTCCGCCTCCATCTCCACGGGCCTTTTGTTTCCCTTATTCTGGGTGCGTGTCTTAAGCAGAACGCTGGAACTCCCCTCCTACCCTACCTTCGCCCCCCTCTGCTGCCCGTCCTATCTTGCTGATGCAGACTTTCATAATCTCTGCGAAATAAATAAATACACCTCGTCCCCGTCAACTGTTTTACACGTTCAGTGTTTTTTTTTTTTTTTGCTCCTTCTGTCTCTCTCACTCTCTTTTCAAATTCCTCCTCTTTTTTGATAAAAGGAATCTGAAGTGGGGGAAATAGGGAGGCGGTGGCGGGCGTTTGACAAATCCTGGAGTCTGGCTTGGTCTTCCTGCGTTTTTTGGGAACGGTTGAGTCGTGTTTCTTGTAAAGAGGATGTGGCGGAGAAGCAGTGTTTCCTGCCTGATAAGAGTAAAGCCTCTCTCCGTCAGGATGTTTGGGCCCCGGCCGGTCCCCGCATTAAAAGAGCCCATGGCGAGGGAAAGGGAACCTGCTGTTCATTTTAGCTGGGAGGAAACATGGCTCTCGTTGATTAATATCTCACACTGTGGTTTTTTTAGGGCTTCGATTTGACCCTCCTCTGGTTTGGCCACACACCAGGCTCAGCACAGATTTTCTTAATCTGTCTCTGTCACTGGCTCCAAAGACAAGTGCTAGCTCGTGGTTATGATGTGAGTTGAGGCATCGCATGCGTTGTTATGAAATGTTTCGGTCAAGGCACATTCATCATGTGACTCCAATTTCTTTTCACAACTGAGGTTGTTATTAACAGCCTGTGACTGAATGCTTAAGGTTTGGGAGAAAGGGGGTGGTTGGGGCCACCAGCCGCAGGCCGAGGCCTGAATTGTGGCTTATGATACAGGCAACTTTTAGGGTTAGAGTAAGGGCCCCATACAACCTATTCTGGCCTTGGGGAAGGGCATTGTGTCATGGTTGGTAACCATGCACTTCAACATCAATAAGTAATATACTGTACATTTTAATAGTTTGATTTCAGTTAGACTGACACTGTAATTTGTCTACAACTGACCTTGCCATTGTGTGCTTGCTACAAAAGACAGAGGTAATGTGCAATGTAAATTCGGCATGAAATGGAAGTTGCAATATATCCGAGTAAAACGACTTCTTGAACAAGAAAAAAATGTTTGGCGGGACTTGATTTTGCCCATTGAGAATTGATTGGATCGTTGGATGGTTGTGGTTTGCTATTGGTCGATCTCATGTGAGTGACAGGTTGCCCCTAAACATGTAATCAGAGAGGAGATGTCACTGCAAGAGGGAGGGGAAGTTATTCTGAATAAAGATTACGAGGGCACATGAATAAAAATAAATAAAATAAAAAATATATATATACTGTATGTGCACAAATAAATCATGTATAATAAATACTGCGATATATAAAAAATAAGAGTTGTCTATTTTGATTTCATGCATTAATCTACCATTAGGTACCATTAGGTGAATTCAGGTAAATTGGGTGGTTTAAGCTTGCCTGCATCCAAAATTGCATTTAGTTGGCAAAAAACAGCATGTGACAAAATATGTATGTCTGAATTCGCAGTACTAATAAAAGAGTAGGCAAAAAGTACCCGGATGACCCATGACATATACTTTACTATCCCATGAGGCCACAGGAGAGGATCTGTGAATGTTACAGTAAGTCAAGTGATAATGATTGATAGACGTGTATTCTACATGCCAAACGGCTCATCGCCATTTATTGGAAAAAGACAAAAAGGCCTACTATAACTCGATGGTTAAGAGAAATATCTTCATGCATTGTAATGGAAAAGATAACCAATATTCTTAAGGGTAAAGAAGGCCAATTCAAGAGGATCTCGAGTCCCTTTTTATTATTTATTGAACATAGGAATATTAACTGTATAATAGAGGGGGAACAAAATGCTTGATTAGGTTTTATGTTCATATGAAAATATATTTTAATTTACACTGTTAATCCTATTTTATTGCTTATATCTGTGGCTATTATTGATTGCAGTTTATTGTTAATTCTAAATTCAAAATACATACTGTATTATCCAATGTTGGTTTATTTCCCTTTTCATGCAATATGAGCCCAGGTGTTTGTTTTGTTTTTGTACATTATGTGTTGTTACAGACATGTGATGTATACATTGTTGTGTAAGTGTTCAAGAAAATGCAATAAAAAACAGTATTACAAAAAAAAAAAAAAGTCAAGTGATAATGACAACATGCCGAATGTATACGTCCAGATTACATTCATACTACACACATTCATATTATAGAACATGCTTTTTTAGTGGTCGCAAAGTAATTAGTCAAAAGTATAGGCCTACTCAAGAGAGTAGGCCTATGTGAATTTGGACGCAGCCCTTGATTGTATTGTGCTCAACGGGTTTACAGGGGTGCCCAATGCTCAATCCTGTTCCCGGAGACCTACCTGGGGCCAGTACCATAATGGTGGATGAACAAACTCAGGGTTACAGGATTAGCTTCAAGTTGACAAAACCAAACTGATCATCAACTTTCACTGTCAACTCAAGCTTTGATCCTGAGTTCATGAATTATAAATAAATAATCATAGCTAAAAGCCAGATAAGTTTGTATTTAAAAATATTTTAATATAGGCCATAGTGACCTTTAATTTGGAGCAAGAGAAACTGGGGGAATGATTTTATTGTGTCAGACATCACAGTTTGCTCACAGCTGATTGGTCCAATTTCGGTTTGAGACATATGCCTAAACCATCCGTTTTCCCTGAGAGTCTCCCGTATTTCACACCCATCTACCCCCCTTCTCCCGGTTTCCTATTTCTCCTGGGAAACTCCCGTAATTTGTATGGCCCAAACCTCGTTATATGAATAATCATATTAATATAGGCCTATTATTGAAGGTTGTCCAGTTGCCAGATGAAACGCATAGGCTACTCACACAATCAACAAATCATACAAATCAACCCATTTGAGATCTCTTACCGGTTAGAGATATATCTAGATAAACATATTATGGAACAATGGTGCTGTTTTTATTGGTCTGGAATGGATTTACACAGTTTTGATGATTCGATTCTATTTTTGATTCATAAACCTGCGATTCGATTCCGATCTTGATTCATTTCGATTCAATATGGATTCATTTTAGATATCAGAAAGATTACATGTGATTTTTCCCCCCAAAAAAATATCTCTAAATACGTAACATGGAGCCTTGTCAGCTGGTACATTATTATTATTAGTTAAAATTTAGTGATTCGTATACAATTAAAGGCAGTTTTTATTTTTATCCAAACTTTTTAACTTTTAAAAGAGTAAAATATAGCATACTGGTAATAAAGTGCATATATATTTTAAATGCTCCACACTAGAGTTATCCTAGCTAACTAAATGATGGTCATTGAGTTGCTTTTCTGAGGTAGGCAGGCTAGGCCTAAATGTAACGTGTCATGTTTTATTGACTTAATACATGAGAGAACGTTTAGTGTGAACCGATTCAATATAAGGGAATCATACTTTCCAACGCTGCATAAATGAGAAAAGCACCGTTTAGAATGAAGTTCATTCAAAT